CGGCTCCCCGCTTATGCAAATGAAGCCCGGGGAAATTCAAATCCCGGGCTTCATTTGCAAGTGCGGTATGCCTACATTACCCCACTAGTTCGAACTAGCGGGGTAGTGTAGACATACCCCCAGTCAGGAGGGACTCAACCTGAGAGCTAGAGCTGCAGCCAATTGACATAGTTAGGAGGAGGTTCCAGCTGAGTAGTGGCTAGCCTGGATGATGATCCAGCACATTCCCCAGCTACAACAACTGGTCCCCAGATCTAACTGGACATGGTCAGGTTCCCTTTTTTACTGAACTTTCTAGTAAAAAACCAGGCACCTTGCTACTCTACACCCCACAGCAAGTGGAGTTGAGCCAGCAGAACAAGAATATCCACTGTACCACTGGGTACATCAGAGCAGTCTGTGGTCCCCCCCAGATCTCCCCTATGCATGGTTTCTGTCTTAAGCAAAAGACATCCTGACCCTTATGTCCTCTTCTACACCTTATCAAAGGTCTGTGGCTTTACAGCAACAATCTATGCTCAAGTTCTTTGGCAGTTCTCTGGAAAATAACAAAGGGAAACAAGGCTGTGAATTACTGTTACAGCTGAACTTGGAAAAATTGATCATAGTGTGAATTATTGCAGAATAGTCAAATTTGCAAAGTTGGCTAATCAGAGACAAAGCAGCACCAACCCTCAACCTCATTTGTCCATTAATGCCCCATCCATGTAAGAACTACCTTCTAGATTTATAAATGTAAAGCATAAGGTATCAATGAACAGCATTAAAATGTTAACATTTTTTGTTTGTGATTTACATCTGGAATTGCCCACGTGTCTGAGACTTCCTCAGGAAATTCTCTTATTTCCTTCGGAAACAGATCTAGACTACTTTTTTATAAAGTCACTGTGACTACTCACATGTTCACAGTTAAGGATGTATGTAACTTTTTTATACTTCATCACTGTCTGCTCCAAACCTCCAAAGGCTAGAGGACAAGCTAATTTTAGCCCTGCATTTTTATATATATTTGCCTTAAAATTAAAAAAAATATATTTTAGCTTTGTAATTCCAGAAACGAACTTTACTTTCCCCGACAGTTGCTCAGCCTTGTCATTCTATACAGCTGACTCCTTGTAGGCATGGAGAGACTTCTTTGTAATTTAACCTTTATACAGCATGAACTTCTTAATAGTAAAAATAATCAAAACAGAAAAATAAATCCTTGTGCTTTTGATTATTGTACACTTCAGTTACCCAATATTGTTACGGGACTAGAGGATTTGAGAGAGAAAACACTTCAGTATAAAACTAACAAGATTTACAACATAATAAATATTAATATGTATAGAGCAGGCTCCATCCAGCTCCTAACAAAGGGAAATGAAAAGTATAATATGTCCAATCAGTAGGAGCAAGCACAGTTCAACATTGCCTTACTGTTCTACACTTATATATCAGGGTCTTCCTGTGACAAACTAGTAACCAATACATCTACTGAATTAAAAACATTTCCTTTAGTAGGATGCTTTTCCGCTCCCTCAAAAAGGTGAATTTTATGAGCCTTGTGATGCAAGATTGAAGTTGTAAAATAATTACTAATCACAACATATGGTATTGCGAAGACTTAATTCAAGGGATAAATACAAGAATGTGTGCGCAAAAAGACCATGAAGGCATCAGTTCGATGAAAATATCCATTCTTTGTTATAAAAAAACAACTTATCAAAACGTAAACCTTCATTAATGGGAAAAACTTGATTAAAGTTAGCTAGTTAAGTGGAGGCTTCATGCACTGGTCTAAGCACACCAATTATGCTTTCATCAGCTTTGCCCATAAAGTACAAGTCACCTTGTTTCCCCTTTAAATGTACATCCACAATATGACTGTCCACTTTCTGTGTCAATTCACAAAAAAATAAAAAATTAAGAAATGGCAAAAAGCTGGGATTAAATTGCTGGTCATCCTGATGAATAAAACTAGATCAAATAATTAATTTTTTTTGTCTACCTCTGCATCATTGAGAATTACTCTAATCCAGGAGCAGGCAATAATTTTTGATGGGAGGCCACTCCAAGATTTTGTAAATTGGTCAAGGGCTGCACTCTTCCATGATATTGATGGAGGAAGTGCAGGGCATGGATGGAGGTTGGGTGCAGAAGGGAGCTTTGGGTAAGGAATTAGGTTGCAGGGGTTGGGGGGGAATCTGGGAGGGAGTTTGTGTGAAGGAGGCGATTGTGAACTGGGACACTGGACGGGGATGCAAGGGTTTGAGATGTGACCTATGGCACGAGGAGGTTGTGACCTGGGGCAGGAGATTGGGGTGCAGTTTCTGAGAGAGGATATGGGTGCAGGAGGGGAGCAGAGGGTTTGCGTTACGTGGGGTGGGAGGGCAGAGGGTTGCGGAGGGAGAGGTGGGAGTGCCAGAGGCAGGCTATGGCCAGGAGACTTACCTGGCTGACTCCCAGCCAACAGCCCAGCACATTTCTGAAGCAGCCTGCCTGCCTGCCTGACCTGCACTGCCCCTGTACAGGTTGTAGGGGACATGTGCATGTGTGAATAACTACGAACCAGAGGAAAGGGGGGGTGTGGTGCTTTGTGTGCTTCCTGTTTTTCAAACAGGCAACTCCTGTTGGCCAGAAACCACCCAATGGGATGGTGCTGGGGATGGGGACAGCTTATGAAGCTTTCCCCTTACCTCTCCTCCCCCCCGGGGTCATAGTAGTGAAAGAGAAATGGCCTGGCAGCAGCTTTTCTGAGTGATGTGCAGATGGGGCGAGGCAAGCAGGGAGCCTGCCTAGGGTTCTCCGCTGTGTCCATGGGCTGGATCCAGTGGGTTGGCAGGCTGGATGTGGCCTGCAGGCTGTATTTTGCCCACAAAATACTCTAATATTGCTCTAATCAATATTGTCTCACTCAGTAACACTATGCTATAACTTTACCACAGTCGTGGTAATCAGGATTGATAGAGGCACAAATGAAGTACTATAAATCTTGACCATGTAAAAGTAGTGCCTGTCCATGCTTTGAAGATCCTATTTAATATTTTACAATAGTGTACAAAAGGATTAAAACAACTTTTGATTGTTGCATGTCTTCCCCTCACCCAATGCATTCTCACGTGCTGGGGAAGGCTTGCAGAAATGCACATTTATGAATTTACACTTCCATATAGGTCAGAAAAATCAAGTTTCTCTTAAGAGGATTCTCCATCATTAAGTGTTTCACCTCCTGATCTGTCATCCATTTGATCGTGAGCATCTCCTAGGAGTCTGAAATAATTTAGTAGCATGAGAAACTATCTTATAAATTAGTATGTATGGGGAGGTGGGAAAAGCTACATACTACCTGTTGTGGCTGGTGGTGAAAATAAATGATGGGTTTGGGGCTGGCAATGGGATCCTTTCCCCAATCCTTGAAATTATTATTTTTGATTCTATACTTAGACATTTCTGATCTCTTAAATTAAATCAACTATACCATTTTGTTCTTCCATCCTCTTCCCCACCTTGTCACCTGAGAAACTCTTCTACTGTAATTCCTTCCCCTGCTCCTCCTGAATATGTGAAGGTGGCCTTCCTACACTTCGCTGCTTCCCTTACCCACCTAAACAAGTCCTCATGCAACCCCTTGCTCTTACTTTTATATTCCCTCGCCAGATGACAGGTTGTATCTACCTTCCCTTTCCTGTTTGGTCCCAGGCCCCTATCTGCTGCTTCATTGTTATCACTGGCTGCTTTATTCACTGAGCTGCCTTAAAGAAGGGAAAGAAGCATCTGCCACTAAGGGTTTGCCTACATGGAGAAATATACTGGCATCGCTATAGTGGAATAATGGTGCCATAGTATTTCCCTGTCTAGACAAGGCCTAAGTCTTTATTTGCTGAAAGAAAGAAGAGAAAATGTCATAGGTGATGCTTATTCCATTTGCCCCTCACTACCAGCTAGGATGCCTAGTCCAGCAAGAATAAGCATGATCCAAAATTATAGTTAATGGCTTTAGCTTAATAGTTTTTGGGGGGAGGGGTGTCCTTAAATCCTTTAGAAAGCATGCTTGTAAATATCCAAATCCAATGAATGCAATTATCTAAGCTAATATAGTCAAAGGCATGGGTTAGATCAGTTTGTGCAAAAAAGGCTACTTACAAAGGGAACATTACATCAGAAAGAAATTTGTGATGACTGAGTAGTTTCCCACTTACCCTTCCTGTAACTGAGCAAGCCAGGAAAGATGAAAGGAAACAGCTGGCAAAACACAAATGGATAACAATGAAGAAAAAATTAAAGATTAAAAATGGAAGTATAAGCTGTAGAGCAACCTCCTAGAGGTTCTTTAGCTTCGATTGAGGGACAGTGAGGAAAAGAGAGCATCTTCTACATGGAAAAACCTGTAAATGTAGTTTATTTAAAGGATTAAAGATGTAACATAAATGACATACCATCTTCACTGGTGTGAGGCTCTGTACTGGCATCCTGGTCCACTTCCTCTAGTGTACCATGTTCACTATATGGGCTATCACTGCAGAAATATACAGCAGGTTCAGGCAATTAGCACATGATGTAGTGCTTAATGGATTCTTTATATTTGGCATGAATCTCGCAGGGGTGCCATTTCAGGGTGTGTGTGTGTGTGGCCCCCTCTCGCTCACTTGGGGGACAATGGGGATGCGTTCGCACCCTTTGCACCCCTCTTGCATACAAGCCTGGGCTCGGAATGTGAGCCAAGCACCCATGCACCTGTCTGCATCCCCACATGTGGCTGGGTGGGAGAGAGCCAGTCTGGGCTTGGGAGATGGGCTGGATTTGGGTCTCCTCTGAGGCACCCTTAGCTGTTCCCTTGTTTGCTGTGCCCTCAGCAAGCTTAGGGAGGCAGGTGACAGAGCTGAGGTGCAACTGGGAGGCTGCCTCTGTTCCTGGCAAAAGCAGTCCCCTGGGTTGGGGGACAGGCCACCCGAAAGGCCATCTCCAGAGCTGAGTGGGTAGGACTCTTGAGAGGTGGAATCTGCCCGGGTTGGGTTACAAGTGGCTTTGCCAGTCCCCAAACAGTGTCCGGGGCAGGGACCTTGTGCGAGGGTGGAGCCTGTGGATGCTGATGATGTCATTCTCTCATCCCACAGGAATTTTTTTTTATATCTAGAGAGATGTTCTCGTTAAGAAAGGCTGGCAATCATCATGGTCAGGGCTTGCCAAGTGGCGGTGAGCCCCGCTCGCCAGCCATGCAGTTCTGCGCTCTGCGCCGGCTCTTCCGGGTTGTAATCTACTCACCACAGGCGAGTAGATTACATTATCTGTCTAGCCCTGATCATGGTTATGTTTGCCCACGTTTCACAGTAACACTTTCCTGTGAATCTTCCATACATCAGTATTTTATTTTCATATTTATCTATGACTCTTCTACCATTGCAGTTATTTATGTAAAATGGAATCCTAGGATTTTGGTATGAACTAAAAATGATAATATTCTGACTTACCAGTAATCGTCTCCAGCCATACATTTTTCATAAACAGGACCATCTAGTTCTTTAACATCTGGGAAAATAGCCTCATGATGGATGATGATTGTTTTGATTATTTCATTCACATGAGCTTGACATGACACCTGGTCTTGTATGTCTGGAACAGGCATCAGTGTTGGGCCAAAACATATGGCCAAGTTATAAGGATCCATCATGTTCTCATCACTGTATTGAGAGAGGCTATGAAAGAAGAATCAAGAAAGAGACTTTTTTTCCTCTGTGACCTTTTAATTTGAAAAACTACTCCAGAAAACCTTAAACTGCCAGCACAATGCAATGCTCCCCACCCTTCTTGACACTTAAGACCTGTACAACACATTAAAATAAATGATTCTGTTCTTCCATTGTCTGGCAACATGTTCCATTATCTGGCAACATACAACACTTGGCAGATTTACAGTATATAGACTAACACCAGGAAGGGGGGAATTAGTTTGAATTAACCATTTTTAGGCCATTGAAAATTTACTAAGGGACTACATGTGGCCTACAGTAAAGACACTGTTCTAAGTGCAAAAAATAAAAAATAGAGCTAAGGGCTTTCTGAGGGAAGAAACCTCCCTCCCCCTCACACTTTACTATGAAGCCACGTATATAACAACATTTCCAATATCTGAAACAGCATAGCTGACCACAAGATGGCCACAGAGGAATCCTCTGGTCACTGTAATGCCACTCAACCTCTGAAAAATCTGCCTCTGATGGAAGCAGAGTGATGCTGGCATCTTGCTGAACCTTGGATTCCATGTTATCCTCTTGGGACTACTGCTTGTAAATTATGCTACAGCAGTGGCTCTCAACTTTTCCAGACTACTCTAACCCGCTTTCAGGAAGCAGATTTGTCTTGCGAAGCTCACTCAAACTATTGGTTTACAAAATCAGACAAAAATACAAAAGTGTTACTGTACACTATTAATAAAAAATGCTTTCTTTCCTAGTACCATATAATTATAAAATCAATTGGGATATAAATATCGCACTTACATTTCAGTGTATAGTATATAGAGCAGTATAAACAAGTAATTGTACACAATTTTAGTTTGTACTGATTTTGCTGGTGCTTTTTATGTGGCCTGTTGTAAAACTAGGCAAATATCTAGATAAGCTGATGTATCTCTGTGTAACCCCAAGATATGTGTATCTCTGTGAGAGAGCCACTGTGTTAGAGGACCAGCCTGGTGTGCTCCTGGCCCAGAACCACAAAGGATACCTTTCCATATACCACCTTTCCCCCTGCAAGTTGAACTGTGTGAGCTTTTTAGCAGTAGCTGAAGATGGAGGTTTATAAATCCTCAGATTAATCATTCTTAAGGACTCAGTCCCAACAAGGCCTTGAAGTCTCACATCTCCCACTGATCTGATACTGCTTGGCACCTTACAGGACTGGAGATGCAGCTGGTATGCTTGCCAATCTTTACACGCATAGTCTTAAAAGGCTTTAAACTATACTTGCTAGAGAAAATATTTGCTCCATGGCAACAGTATATTGTGACATCAATGCAAAACAAAAAGAATCAAGAATTCGAAATGACTCCTTTCCAATCCTGCAAAATCTGCTTGTAAAATCAGTCATGCTACCCCTTTATGTGTCATATTTTGTTAATGTGCCGTGTGCTATGATCATAAATCTTGTTCTACAAATTACAAAGAAGATTAAGTTACTTGATTATTCATGAATTATGCTACATTGGGTGGTTAAAATTTGATGTATGAAATAAGAAAGGCTAGATGCTGTTGCCTCTATGTTCTACATGACACACGCTTGGTGGAATATAGTAGAAGAGACTATTTTTATTGCAGCAAAGTCCTTTTTTTACATGCAGTCCCAATAGATTTACTCAATTATGGAGCAAATACCAGTAAAGGAGGAATATGCCAATTAAGGGCATGATCTCTCATTCCCTAAGGGTTTATCTACACTAGAGCTGGAGGCATAATTTCCAGCTCACAGACACACCTGTCCTCGCTTTGAGCAAGCTAGTGTGCTAAAAATAGTGTAGCCACTGCCATATGGGTGGTGGGAGATGCTAGCCACCCCACATATGTCCCTAGAGTTTTTGGGATTGTACATGAAATGGCTAGTCCATGCAGCTGCGGCTACACTGCCATTTTTATACTAGGTCAGTCTCCCTGAGCTGGAATTTACACCTCCAGCCCACGTGTAGTTGCACCTCATTAAATATATCATCATCATCTAGTACTGATGATATAGTACTAGGAGTTGCATTGCTGCTGGGGTAGGGGAGGTAAAGATCAGTTTCAGCAGCGGCTGACTCAGAGACACTGGGGGCAGAGCAGCTGGGGTGCTGCCGGGTTGGTCCCGCAGCGCCGAGGGGCGGTGCTATGGGACCAGCCTGACAGCACCCCAGTTGCTCTGCCCCAGGCGTCCTGATTCAGCCACTGCTGAAACTGACCAGCAGCGGCTGAATCGGGGATGCCTGGGGCAGAGCTGGACTATCGGAAGGGGGGGCTACGAGGAGTCTGGGGAGGCATCCTCTCCACCCCAGACCCCTCATAGCCCCCCCTTCTGATAGTCCGGCATATCTGATAATCCGGCACCCCCTGGGTCCTAAAGGTGCCGGATTATCAGAAGTTTACTGTAACATGAATTACCCTCTATAATCTTGACCAGTGTTAGATGATTGAGGCTGGGAAATAAAAAGAAGTCTTACATGCACTACTGGTTGTCAGGGCCTTATTACAGCCATTCTCAAAAGGTACAGCTGGGTTTTTTCAGGTGTGGAAAAAAGGCCCAAACAATGTGCCCTCTAAACTACAGGGCAGCACAGCTTCACAGGTCATTGATCAGCCCCACCCAGTCAGTCAGCAACATGCACTCAGCCCTGAGCCTCTGACTGGGCGGGGCTGATTAATCATCTGTGAAGCTGTGCTGCTCTGCAGTTTAGAGGGAACACTGGGCCCAAATCCTTTTACTGCAGGGCTGTGTGTGTGTGTGTGTGTTTGGAAAATCACTTATTTGGTGACAAGTACAGTGGGGATTAGCATCTACAACTACTCAAAGGGTGCACATACAATTAAAGCCTAACAATGAAATCTACACACTTAGCATATTAACATTGTAATAACACATTTTATCATTCACATCCTAAAGGTATAGTAGAAACTCAATCCAAAACACACATTGCAGTATTTGAAAGGAGGTTTAAGGAACAGCAGAACAAAGTTCCCAGGAGGCAGGCAGTACAGAAACAGAAAAAGTCAATAACAGGGCAGGCCACTGATCAAAGAAAGCATATCATATAGTGAAAATACCAGGACAAGGGGGAAAAAACCCAGAAAAGGGACAGGTAAAAGTAGTGGCTTCTTCCACTCTACTTTCCTGTGGCCCAGTTTTTTCATTCAGAATAGGCCAATTTCTGATGCTTCCATCTGTCCAACATCTGTCTCAGTTTTTCCATTTGAAGCGAAAGTGATGGGGTTGCCAATAGCATATTGTTATTTTGGGCAAAAGCACCAGTGAATTTTCCTAAAGGCACACACGAGAAAATGTGGATGTTGCTCCATCACAGCTTCTAACCACCAGCTACTGAATGATTTGGCTGTTGCATTTTTTCAATCAGAAAGACGAGTGTAGCTAAAACGTCCACTTCTAAATTATGCAAGTTATTTTTAATATGGATATTTGTTATTTGTTGTTTTGTTTTACAACTCCAGCTCTAGTTGCAGTTTTTGTGTTCAAGGCGCAACACTTATCAGTCTTACCATGACCTTGTGGTCAGTTAAAATGAAAAGTAGCTTCAATTTGTACAAAAACAGACCTTTTTCCTTCTGTTTTCACTGCCAATTAAAATACCCTCTTCTGTGTTAAATGAAGATAAAATGTAAATTTTATGTAGATTAAGAAGAAACACAAAAATTTTGACACGAGCAGTAGAAGTGGGACGAAGATGTAGAATTTTGAAAGGAACCTTAAGGTACTTACTGGTTAAGGAAGGCAAACAGGTATCTCATCACTATAAGGACAGACCTGGGTAAAGTCAGGAGGAGTTTGCGGATGTGAAGAGCCCTCTCATAGAGATTATCTATTCCTGTAAGGCAGAAGATGATATGTTCAGCTCCTTTTTAGGATAAAGCCTGTACATTTCAGCTGAATGGTGTTATTCTTATACAAATATGTTACTCCTCAACATTTTTCAAATTTTGAAAAAAAGGGGAACACTTTGAATAAAACATGAAGCCCTTCCCTTTTTGACCAGATGATGCTTTTAAGTATGTCCAGCAAGTCTGCTGAAAACTAACTTACTGTCGATTTCTAAGCAAGGTAGCTCATGAAACTACAATAAGAGGATTTTCCCCTCAAGGATAAATAAGTAATATTAGGAGACTAGATGTCTTTGTCATCAGTTTTAAACACGGGCTTATTATCTGTATTTGAATTTGTATATTGAAAATATCCTTCTGATCACAGCTTTCCAACTTAGTTTCTTTGTCAACACTCTCTCTCCAGCTGTAAATCTATTAAAGTTAATGCCTTTTGGTATTAATTCAAAAATATAAAGTACAATGATCAGATGGGTTTTCCACAGATAATTTTGTTTAGGTCCATTCAAATATTTCTGAAGTGGGCAAACCAACAGCTGTGTACAGCAGGACTGAGACAGCACAAGAACATTGGTTTCTATTGCCTTATAACAGAAAATCCTTGTCAGCATGTATTATTTTCTTCATTGTTCAGAATGATCATGTAGCTTCAACTGGAAAGCAAGATCTTTCAAAGTAGCAAACCTCTACTCTGAATCAGAAATCCTTGAACTCTTCTCTCTCAGATATTTTCAGTGTAAATGGCATTGCTAAAAGCAATTTAACACTTCAATAATGCCCCCTAAGTCAACCAAGAAATAATAGTACAATTCACATAATTTAAATACTGTCCTAGTAGAATATTAGAATAATAGCACCTACTAACCATGCAATGGAGATTTGGTAACAAGAGAAACTGTGAAATGAGGAATTGGGGGTGAAGCCAACAGCCAAAACCCATCTGTTATAGAATATGAAATTTTTCACAGAAGACATTTAAAATAATCACTTACATAAAAGGTCAGTGTTAATTATAGGCGGCATTCTCAATGTTTATTTTTGCTCTTTTGATGTGCTTATTTTATACAAATTAGCACTCACGTTCAGTTGTAAACTGTGTGTTGCCAATGTTTAAATATTTGTCCCCAATAGGAAAAAAAATCCAGTTTCCAATAGTTGATATGTTCATAACACCAACAGAGACAAGAGGAGTATCACAGAAGCAGAATTTGTGTTGCTCATACAAAAGAGATGCCCCTCAACAGCACTTCCTTGAAGATAAATATTTCTGCCTGGAAAACGATGGGGTAAATTCTGCTCCTGCAGCTGCAGCCATGGAAGATTCCCATTTTAACATAAGAAATGTGTAGGAGGGTGAGGGGATTTGGGATGGGGTAACAAACAGGGATTTGACTGCATGTCATTTTGCTCTTAGGAGATCTACTGCGCACAAGTAGATTCTTCCATCCTCTCTTTTTCCCTCTTTCATAGCAGGGATAGAGTCATACAACCATAGAGCTGGAAGAGACCTCAGGAGGTCATCAAGTCCATCCCCCTTGCCCAAGGCAGGACCAATCCCAACTAAATCAACCCAACAAGGGCTTTGACAAGCCAAGACTTAAAAACCTCTAGGGATGGAGATTCCGCCACCTCCCTAGGTAACCCATTCCAGTGCTTCACCACCTGCCTAGTGAAATAGTTTTTCCTAATATCCAACCTAGACCTCCCCACTGTAACTTGAGACTATTGCTCCTTATTCTGCCATCCGTCACTACTGTGAACAGCCTTTCTCCATCCTCTTTGGAACCTCCCTTCAGGAAGTTGAAGGCTGCTATCAAATCCCTCCTCACTCTTCTCTTCTGCACACTAAATAAGCCCAAATCCCTCAGCCTTTCCTCATAGGTCATGTGCTCCAGCCTCCTAATCATTTTGGTTGCCCTAGTGGGGGGCCCAGAACTGGACACAATACTCCAGATGTGGTCTCATCAGAGCTGAATAAAAGGGAATAATCACTTCTCTGGATCTGCTGGCAATGCTCCTCCTAATGCAACCAAATATGCCATTAGCCTTCTTGGCTACAAGGGCACATTGTCGACTCATATCCAGCTTCTCATCCATTGTAATCCCCAGGACTTTTTCTGCAGAACTGCTACTTAGTCATTCAGTTGGCTTGGGACTGTGAAGGCTCCTAGAATAGCAACAGCAGAGAAGCTTTGTAGCCTGGGGTGAGGTGCATTTCCCTCCTCATGGAAGAGAGTAGCACATAGCCTAGGATTCCAACTTTGAGCCTAGATTTGTTGGTTTTTAGAAATGGTGCCCTTATTTGCTTAACAAGCAGCTAATAACTGACTGCCAAGGGCATACGCAGCATAAGCAAAAACGAAACATTCATAGTATGGGTCCTATCATATTCCAGCAGCATGCTGCCTGTGAGGACACCATGTAAAACAGAGTTTCTGTAGGTCATTACAAACCACACTTTACAGTAATTAGCTGTGTATATATTTAACTCATTCCTAGTAAAACTGTCCCAATGTTCTGACCTCTCACTCATTACTATGGAGAAAGCATTCTTTACTGAAAATCTGAAGCCAGCACAAGTGTGAATTTGGCTGCTTTCCATTGTTTATTTAATAAACACTAATATTCTCCTCACAGTGTTTGCTTTCCTTTCAAATTAAAATTGGAGGAGAATAATTTATCTGCTGTAATCTTTTACCTAAGAATCTCAAACATCAAGGGCTACATTCTGGCTTCTTCTATGGGGGAAAAGGAGTGGATACAAGAACCGTCTTTCACCCAGATGCATGCATGGTTGTGTTGCTTTCCAGGTGAAGGGGATAGACAGTGTTGCTTTGCCTCTGAAGGTTACTTTTCCAAAGGAGACATATGGGGGTGAGGTGAGGGGGCGGGGCAGAGAAGCTGGGTTGTTGTGTGGCCATAGTAAGGGGCTAGCAGCAGATCATTTACTGTGAAGCAGGATTATGAAGCAGTGCCAAGGAGGGAAGGCCCATTTTATACAAGAGCAGCTCATCTTCTACTTGCACACTGAAGACCACTTCATCACTTTGACTCTCAGTAACAATAAATTAGTCCTACCTCATCAATTCTAAGACGTGAATGGGTATTTTCCCCACTTTTCTAGTAAGATAACCCTAGGCATTTACTTTAGAATATAAGAATGGCATATGGATCACAATAATGGTCCATCTAGCCCAATATCCACAGTGGTCAATGGGGACGTGAATGGGTAACTGGTTAATCCAGTGATATTAACTGGGTAATGGTTAAACAGTTCCCCAGGAGTAGCCTGGGTGGAGGGCTGCTTCTGCCCTACCAGGCCCCAGTGGCCAGCCCCATATGGGGCTGGGAGCATGAGCCCTATGGGTTCGAGGTTGCTCCTTCTTGGGTGGAGGTATCTGTGGCCCAGAATCCCACTTAGTCGATTAAACCTAACGTTTAACCAGTTCATTGATTAATCAGGATTTTACATCCTCAGTGGCCAATGCCAGATGCATCAAAGTGATCATCTAATCATCAAGTGATCCATCCTCTGTAATCGGGTCCCAGCATCTGGCAGACAGAGGCTTAGGGACACCCAAACATTCCCTGGCTATGAGTCCTCCAGTTTGACTGTGCGTTGTGTGAAGAATCCTTCCCTTTTGTTTTCACTCTGCTGCCTATTCATTTCATTGGATAACTCTTAGTTCCTGTGTTATGTGAAGGGGTTATTCACTTTCTCCACATCTTTCATGATTTTATAGACCCCTCTCATAGTTCCTCATAGTTGTTTCTTTTCTAACCTCAATAGTTCCAGTCTTTTTTAATATTGCCTCATAGGGAAGTTGTCCTGTATCCCTAATAATCTTTGTTGCCCTTTGCTGTACCTTTTCCAATTCCAATACAGGTCAAACCCCTGAAAACCAGTACTCTGGTCCGGCAACATCTGTGGTCTGGCAAGATCATGAAAGCTCCTGGGCCAGACAGCCCAGGAGCCCAATGGCAGAAGGGTAGGGCTGCCAGATGGTCTTCCAAAAAATACCGAACATGAGGGCTAAAAATTTGTCGAGCAAAAAAAACAACAACAAAACAAAAAAACACTGCCACAAACTCACATGCTATGTTTAATACTTACCTTTATTATAAACAGTCTTATTATAAACAGTCTTCATCCTACACCATCTCTATGTAAAGAGGCTTAGAGGTAATTGTGCAAATGTGCATGCTATTTTCATTGTTTTCTATTCCTCTAAAGCTAAGGCGATAGAAGAATTTAGAACTCCTTTTTATCCTGCAGCTGAACTGATTGTAGAGAACTCCCAGCGCCGATCGCGCCCC